TTTGCATAGGTGTTACGGTTGGATACCTTTTCACATAGCCGCGTACAGGCTATATGCTTTGCGATTGTAATGAGAGACATCTGGACACCTTTCAACATAATTTTTGCCATTCTTCTTGCCACTTCTGAGAGATTCTACCTCAAAAGTTGTCCAAGGGTTTTAACCCTTCAGAATGATTATTATGGGTGCGTGGTGCACCTGATGTCTGATGTTAGTAGCTTCATATATATCTATCTTTTGTTTTACCTGTTTTACCTCCGACGAAGACATAAAATTCTAAATCTTGTTGTACTACTCTATACTTTCGGACATTTTCGGACATTTTTGGCTTGTCTACATTCGTATTTGTATTCATTCACTGTCTACTGTATATCGGAACTTCGGGGTTCAATTTACTAATATTATATTTCTTACAGTTAATTTCGATAGAATCGTATAAAGCTATTAAAGATGAGCTTTCAATGATTTGCGTACAAATATTGCAATTTCATTTTTAATATTTATCTCTTCAATGCTTTGACCTTAATGATTGCGACCTATGAAGAATCCTATGTTTAAACTTTGAAATTTTATGTGCACTCTGAGGGTTTATAAGAATATCAAGCAATGATTATATTTGGGACGATTCTTTGATTTTTCGACTATTTATATAGTTGTCTCGATGACTGAGATGTGAGGATTAAAAAATTAACAAATGATTAAATTCATATAAAGTTAATTTTGGTTCAATATTTACAGATAGGGATGGTTCGGCTACGATCAGCTATGAGCAGATTGCTAAATTTTTTTTATAAGTCATTAATTAAAGTTATTCGGAAGTAAATATTGGTCATAGTTACTTATAAGATAAATTTAAAATATCTTCTCTAAAATTCAAAATCTCATCATCAGTCACGTGGTAGTCAAGCCGTTCCATAACCGATGATAAATTTTAAGATTTTGAATATTAGAGAAGGTATTTTGAATTCAGCTTATAAGTAACTATGGCTAAAATTTACCTCCGAACAACTTTAATTAATGACTTAAAAAAAAAAAATCATTTCAAATTTTAGCAATCTGCTTGTAGTGATCGTAGCTGTTTGTAACCGTACCCATCCCTAGTTATAGACTTAAATTCCTGTTTTTCTACGCAACCAGAATTTATGACTTTTACGATAGTCAAAAAAAAAATTTTTTAGATAATGTCCGCCAAGTCTATGAACGGTGCTTTCCAGATCAAGTCTAGCGATAAAAATATATTATATTCAAATCCAGCACATATTTGCTTGGACTATTTCACGTGATATATAAACCAGGTGACGGCCACAGAATTTGCATTTTAGCAAAGATTACATAATTAAAAAAACGGCTGGGAATACATCCAACTCTATTTCAATCATAAGACCCAATTAAATTTTTTATAGACGCAAAAAAATTATTTATACCATTTTTAAAACATTCTTAAACTTTGATTCATTTTTCTTCCAGATCACGGGTTAATCAATTTTGGTAAATCGTCGTTACACTAACATTGGACAATCATTATCCTATACAGCTATACATACGCACTTGATATAACCTCACGAAGAGCGTTCAAAAAGTATTGCAATGCACCTACTCAAGTAAGATATTCAATATTTTTAGAACCATGACGTCTTTGAAATGCATGAACCAAAAAAAAAAACTTGGAATTTGGGAAAATTTTAATTATAGTCTACCCACGTTTATATCAACTCATTTGAATTGATTTAAATATATGTCGATAATGATATTAACAAGGGATTATATTAAGGTTGATATATGAGGAAATTTTAATATATAAAATTTGTAAAAATTCATCATATGGCTTAGGTTGATATTTACGAAGGTATCTGTATTAATCTTATATTAAATTTTTGTAAATACAAATATATATCTATTTAGTCTTTAAAAATATACTAGCTTAACAAAAATCATATTAAGTACTTATTAATCAATTTAAAACTTTTATTAATTAATATTTTTAATACAAAATTTTACTTATAATAAAACTTTAATTTTAATATAAAATTTAATAATGAATATTACTAACTATAACCAGTGGTGACCATCACCAGGGTGCTTGTATATTATAAGGTAAAGAAGGTAATTTGGCGAATTGCAGGTATCTCGTGATCCCATGATCAAAATTAAAATAATTTTACTACCCTTCGATTCGTTTCATCGAGACGATTCGAATAGTACAAAAATCGTTCGATTTCGATCACTGGATCATGGGATATCGGCTTCCGAATATAATATATTAAGTTTTTTAAATTTATATATTATATTCAAACACTAGTATCTCATGACCTAGTAATGTTTATAAAATCTTCAATAAGATAACTACAGCTATGTTTATTAACTAAATATTTAACTCTTTGATAACTTTAATTTTAACTTATTTAAAAATATTAAGAACTTAATAAAGCTTGGTTTTTGTACTAATTAGAAGAGTTTTTAAAATAGCTAATTAGCAATTAAATTTTGAATAATTGATTATACTTTTTTTTAGCTATTTGATTATTTATATAACATTAACAATTTTTTAAAGCTTTGAAACAAAAAAAAATAAATAACTAATAAAGCATTTAAAGCTATTTTGCAAAAAAAAAAAAATAATAAAATATTAATAAAAATATTTTTAAATTAAAGTCTTTTATTAAATATACTTTAAATTTGATATTTGTATGTTATATTTTAATCAGTATGAAATTTAAACCTATGTATATCAATTATTAATTAACAAAAATTTGAAATGATATATAAATTTATTAGCTATATATCAAAATTTAGTATAATTTTTATATATTTGTTTGAATTTATACTGCTATATAGTACTACCTTACCAAATACTTTATTTAAAGCCCCATTGCTACTAATTATCTTGTATATTTTTTGTCTTGGGTTTAAAAAAGTATAATTATCAGATTAGTATACTATAAAAGTATAATACAAGTATAAAGTTATTTAATACTAATCTGTCATTGTGCTGCTGCTACTGGATCTGTATTTCAAGCCACTCTTTAGGATACTGCTATAACCCAATCCATATCTCAAGCTACAACCTTCCTAATTTGTCTTTGGTTATTTACTCCTTGCCCTTGTAGAATTCACACAACCCCAATACTCATATTCAGACTTTTTTTCTTTTCTAGATTCTTTACTAGTCTCTTTATTATTTCTAGCCAGCAATCTAGAAGGGTTGGTCTACCCAGGCTTTAGCTACCTTACAGTCACTCTTCTCTTAATACATGCTTTTAGAGCTCATGTTTTTTTTCTTTAGTTGGTAGTCTGGTGGTTTGGCTAATATGTCCTCTTACTTAAAAACCTAGTCATTCAGTTCTCCAGTCTCAGTTTCTAGATCCAAATTTGGTCTTCCTGTAGCACTGTCAAAGATCATGCTATTTTCTAACTCAAGACTTGCCAAACAGATTTTTGGTTATTTCAGTTTCTTAGATTTATTGTTCCAAAGCTCTCATTCTAGATAGCATAACCAAAATTACAGATTAGAATCTAACTGAACAGTAATAGCCATTAACTGTATCACAGAACTATTTTTGAAAATATTATCCATGAGATTTGAACTCTAGACCTGCTATCTGAGATGTGACAACTCTACTACTTCACTAAGTTGCACACTCTTATTAAATCTATATTTATATTCTTTTTTTTTTTTTTTTTTTTAGTATTAAGATGAGGTCTTGCTCATATCTTTTTTTATTAATTTATTTAAGCAATTACATAGTTTTAAAAGCTTTATTTGTACAAAAAAAAAAAAATATAAATTATATACAAGAAAAAGAGCTTAGAC